TTTATGAACGGCCTTATATTTGAAATGACGTTTCACATTCATCTAGTGATGTCCGGTTTTCATTCGAATAATCGGTTAATCGATTAACGAACCGAAAAGTAAACTATTTACAATCAGTTAGATCATGCCGATATAAGCATTAACATCTCCACAGGATCATCACCGATCGTTTCAAACATGTGCTGCACTCTCATTGGTGGAAAAATGGCAGCACAGCGAACAAAAAATAATCGATTAGTTGTTAATCGAGTAATTAAAAAATGGGACATCTCTGATTTTGGTGTGATTGTTTTGATAAAAATGAGCGCAAAATTTCATCTCTTCAGAGGGGGCAGCAAAACCACAAAATTACCTTGAATACGGGGGGTTCTCATTGGATGAAAGACGACACTAAAATAGAAAGTTTTTCTTCCGACAGTTTCATCTTAGTATTCATCTTTGCCCTAACCTCTCTCACCGAGATGCCGCAAATAAGCTGGGTGTATCGTCTACAACCGTGCATCGAGCCAAAAAACGAGCCGGACTATCGACTTACAAGAAGGTAGTGACTCCAAATCGCGATGATAAACAAAATACGACGGCCAAAGCGCGATTCCGGAGGCTGTACACGACGATGCTGACGAAGTTTGACTGCGTGGTAATGGACGACGAAACCTACGTCAAAGCCGACTACAAGCAGCTTCCGGGACAGGAGTTTTATACGGCAAAAGGAAGGGGAAAGGAGATGTTTTCAAGCACATGAAACTGTCAAAGTTCGCAAAGAAATATCTGGTTTGGCAAGCCATCTGTACCTGTGGCTTGAAAAGCAGCATTTTCATAGCTTCCGGGACTGTCAACCAAGAAATTTACGTGAAAGAGTGTTTGAATAAACGTCTGCTGCCTTTCCTGAAGAAACACGGTTGTTTCGTACTGTTTTGGCATGATTTGGCATCTTGCCATTACGGTAAAAAGGCCATGGAGTGGTACGCCGCCAACAACGTGCAGGTGGTTCCCAAGGACAAGAACCCTCCCAACACGCCAGAGCTCAGCCCAATTGAGAAATACTGGGCTATTGTCAAGCGGAACCTAAAGAAGACCAAAAAACTGCTAAGGGCGAGCAGCAGTTCAAGGCAAACTGACATTCTGCGGCGAAGAAGGTGGACAAGGTGGCTGTACAAAATCTGATGGCAGGGGTCAAGCGTAAGGCCCGGCAATTCGGATTTGGAAAAGCGGAAGCCTAACTGAATATTTTTCCTGAATTTTATACTAATTGAACTTGAAAAAGAAATTTAATTTGATTTTTTAAATAAACGATTTCACCGATTTACACGCGTTTTCCCTTGACCAAATTTTGACCGTATCACCCTTTAGCCAGTGCTTCACCACCATATTTTAATAGCTCACTTGGTAGTTGATCTACACAAGTTGCTTTGTTGTTCTTCAGCCAACCGATCTCCTCCACAACTTCTTGAAGATCAGGGACCGGTACCCGAGCAAAGCTAGAGATCAAATTGAAATCAGAATTTGCTGTTATGATGTAACTTATTTTGAATACTCCAGTTGATCTCATTTTGGTTGACTTAACGGTTAACACAGCAAAAATGAGAGCAACATTTTACACTATTGAATCAAACGGAAAACTAATTCAGCTTTCAATGAAATCAATGTGATTACTGATTTTGCATTCATAATGTTCAACTGAATACGGGTCTGGCGTAAATGGTTAGCATCCATGCTTCTCACGCTGAAAGAATTAAGCTCAAATCTCACTCGGGCTAGTCACGAATGACCTAAAATGTGTTAAACAAAACAAATAAACAATAATCGTTAGTTCAACGACCGATGAACTTAAATCAAACTTTAAACACGAAATTAACGGCAGATTAAAAAAGTCTTGACTGCATAATGAAAGCCCAATATGATATCAGACTTCTGTCGCGACAATTGAAATCAAAATGAGTTTTCATTATGATAGAAACTGCAAACTTTAATATCGATTTGCGTTCATTTTGTTAACCGACTTTGCTCGGGTAGCCTGTCGTCTTCTGCGCGTGCTCCAAGGTCTGTTGCCGTGCCACCTTCGTTTTCTGCTGCTTCACCGTTGAGATGCTCGTCATAGTACTGCTTCCACCTCATGTTCTACCTTGTTTAAATGATCAAATCTTGTCATTTTAGTAGAGATTTAGTTTCAAACTAGCTTTTACCGAACAGTTCAGCGATAATTTCTATGTGTGTGTAGAAGGCTTACAATTAGAATCTTAGCAAAGTAAATATTGCAGTAGAATCATTTTTTTTTCAATATCAATACATTCTTTTCCGAAAACCCCTTATCTTATGGAACAATAACAAACAAGGATTATTCAATACAGTATCATTGTTGTTTGCTATATTTTGTCCGACTAAGCATTTTAATGAGTGTACGATAACATGGTTGAAAATTGTTTCAATAATTTATGAAGAACAGTCATGTAAGATGTATCTTATTGGGAGCGATATTCATCCCAGAAAACCATGCCAAATCAAATGTTTGCTGTTGGATTTCTTAAAAGACAAATCTATATGACTATATAATGATTGGGATAGATATGTTTACAATCTTTAAGCGTCAAAAATCAAAGAAAGCTATTACAATGAGATATACATGTTTACCTATACTGCAAAGTTAAATGACTGTCCTATAGTTTCTACATGTCTGTTTACACGCAACATATCAACAAACGTCAAAAATCGTTAAAAGCAACTCCAATAAAATAAACATAATTATCTTATAAGATATACCTTTCAGCGAGCAATATTCATCATGAAAACAGGTATATTTTACTGAATTTTTTCGTATTGCAAACTTATATGATTTTCCATTAGTTTCTAGATGTCACATATAACTAGTTTTTCACCATGAAATATATCAGAAAATATTCATATACATCTTATCTATCGCTAACCACGCTCGAAGCAAAGTATTATCAAGTACTAAGTATGTGAAATTACGATAGAAATCATTCCATATCGCAGTCATAATTTTTAAGTGATAGTCCAATGGAATCTATCAATCATCACAAAGAATGAATAAATCTGCTGACATAGCTCTGTTATAAGATGGATCCAATAAACGGTACATGTCGATTTGTTTCAGTGCACACAGTCTATCGGTATCACACACTCAAAATAATTTTCACGTCAAAGCTACGTGAAAACATATGTGGATTTTTTCCATCGCACTTTTCACGTAAAACTTACGTGATTTTCATGTAGCGAAGAACGTATCCATTCCCACCTTTTCCACTGGAGTTTCACGTAAATATTGCGTTATTTTTAAGTATTATCTACGAAATCTTTCAGTAAATTTTCAATGAATTTATGATACAATTTATGTTAAAATGTAATCAAAAGTAATAACATTTTTGATGAATTTTGTCTTCTTTATAAGAATTGCAGTGATGTTATGTAAAGTAAATGTTGTAATAATTGTATTGATATTTACATAGCAATTAATGCAAGCATTAATTGCTATATGAATATTACACAATTATTGAAACGTTATCAGGATTAAAAAAATTAAAGGGTTGTGTCCTAGACACGACCGCAGTATGACGTAGAACCAAATAAAATTGATGTTTGTCATGCATTTTTGACAATTATACTTATTATTAAGAATGGGGCGGGGTAGAACCAAAGATGAAGTAGAACGTTTCTTTTATGCAGAATATGGAAAAAAGGATGGACTTTGGATGTTAATCTAATTGCATATATAGAGGTACCAGATATGTTTTACAGTCAGTTGTGTGTAATTCATTAAATGTATGTCTCCTCTTAAGCATTTTTTTTTAAATTGCCTTGCTCTGCCTGTAAAAAATTGTTTTTAGTTTTACAATTATATTATGGTTTGCTTAAAATTTATTTCCCGGAAAGAAGTGATCGTCAAAGTCCATGTATTTTTTGGGTTGTTGTTAAGGGGGGGGAGGGGGTTGTTGTTAAGGGGAGAGAGGTTGTTGTTAAGGAGGGGTGGGGGTTTTACACACATACTTTTCCAAGTCTCATTCCTCATTGTGGTGGTCATGGTCACGCCGTGATCTACCTTTAGCCGCTGACTTGGTCCTGCTTGCTGCAGGACCTAGTGCTACGCCGTCCGAAGCGGTAATGAGCAGAGTCAGGATAGCAGCGCTGTTCTATATCTTCTCATGTTCAAGCAGAATGATGTGCAACCAAGTGGTATTCGTTTATGATGACTGGGTTTGGGAAAAAAGTTTAGTTCATGAAAACAGTGATAAAATTATCATTAGCGCAATTTTCAAAAGTTTTTTGATTAAAAATTGGAAAAGTATTTATTTCAACACATTCGTTAAGTAATATCCTATCGATTGGCGTATTTGGATTTTAATTTTATCTATAAATGACAAAGTTACAAGCGTTCAAAACGTAACACTATTTCACCACACATATTTTTCGATTTGCACTCCAGTATAGTCGACAAAGACGTAGTTCTACGTCAAAAGCCGCTAATTTGTCCAATGTTTATTATTATAATGACAATGTAAGTATTCATTTCAACTATTTCACAGCGGTTTAGAATTATCTTTATTAAACCTATTTTTGACACGGAAGAAGTAATGTACCGTCCAAAATCTACAACAAATGATCGGCGATCTCTAAATCACTTAACAGCTCTTGCAGTGCGTTTTGTACGGTGGCCATGTTGGTTATTTTTTCATACGTGTGAAACACGTAGAAAGTACGTGAAAATAGAACTGTCAGTATCGGCAGGATGATGTTCCCAACGTACGTGATTTTCACGTAAGTGTTATCGGTTAACAAGGTGGATGTGAAATATGTTTCAGATAAAAATCAGATGCTGACAACTAAATTCTACTTGTGTCAGGTAGCCTCACAACAAACAACATTTTTTTTAGATCTACGTGATTTTTCACGTAACTTTGACGTGACAATTATTTTAAGTGCATCAATGAATTTGGATATGCCTAAATCTAAACATATTTAAACAAGAAACCTACGATTCTACTCACCACTAATTTCGATTTGATGAAATATCTCGTTCGCGTGAACTCATCACACATATTATCACTATCGGCCGTCGCCACGTACACCTCGTACTCAGGAAAATAATGCTTTATCGATTTCCCCGCCAGAATCTTCTGTTCCAGTATATCCTGCTTGTTTAGAAACACAATCAATCCCGTGTCCGCAAGGAAGCGATTGTGCCAAACTCCACGGAACAGTTCAAACGCTTCCGACAATCGGTTCTGCTTGGGGTCTTCCCTTAGTGTTTGGTCGAAACTTCCGCATGCGATCATAAACAGCACCGCTTCGATACCTTCGAACACCTGCATCCACTTGACCCGATGGCTTCGCTGTCCACCGACGTCGAATATGCGAAACTCCTGAAATCCACCGCCAAGCGATTTGGGCATTTTGATCTGAAAACTAACCTCCTGTATACCGGTCGTTTTCTTCCGGCAGTTGAGAATGTCCGAGTTCGAGGGGATGTAGCCTGGCATTGAGATTTTCTCGATTCTATCCAGGAAACTATGAGCGTTAAAAAAACAAACTATTAATTACGCACCTATTTTATTTGTTTCACACCAAACTATCACTCACTATTTTGTACTATCTATCAGTTGAAATTCATTTGATCGCTTGAAGCACCTCTTCACCCCACTGTCGGCCCAGAGGGCTCGAACTCGCTGAACGTATTCCATGCTCAGAAAACACGGGGCGTGTTTTCCCATTCTCAAAATTTCCTCCGCACATCGACCATTTTCTATCGAGTCAAACTGCAGGTTCATTAAAACCACTTGTTGAACCAATTCGAAGATTGATTCGTGAATATTTTCTATAATATCGTGTAACTTATCCAACCGTTCACTGAAATTCAAACCACAAAGCAAATTTCTTAAGACCTCTTTGCTCGTAATGCTACAACCATCGCAAAACTCACTCAAAGCTAAATCCATTCTGAACGTGCAAGATTTTCATCTGCTTGATGATGGTCGTCTTTCCAGATTCGCCAGCACCCAGCAGCAGGATCTTCATCGAATCGATAAATTTCCGATTGATCTCTGTAAGCCTTTTATCGAGCTGCTTTTTCCGTAGGATCTCCTCCGATGAACGGCGGAAGCAGTCTTTCAACAACATCTCCAGCAGATACTGTGGCTTCGGCTCCACACACAACCAACGATTCCGACCTCCAAACGTAGAATGGAACGATCACAAAGGAATGTCCGAAAGAAAACCACCTGAAAATAAGACCGTGCGTGAGAGCCAAATGTGCCATTAGTTTGATTGGTAGACGAACATATAGAGCGGTATTTATCAAAAAGAGGTGACCAATGTCTGGCTGAAGATATCACCAGGAACATGTGCTGAGCATGACGTTATCACTATATTTAACAGCCCTCTGTTCGGGCTTGACTCGTGTGAACAATGTCTCGCAGTCTGATAGAACTATGCATTTCTAGCGTAGATCCGTACTTAAAAATCAAGCAAACACTTAGGTCTTATGGGTTCAGACTGATTGGTTCATCTGCCAGATAACCTTATTGGCCTTCTATACCTCTTTCAAGTGTACTGTAAAACAATCAGTGTCTATGATGAGCATTGTTTGCAATAGTACTTTTGTAATACGTTTGTATGGCCTTAATTTCGCATGAATTACGTTACATTTCCGACAATGTAATCGGCAATGGCAGCTGTGGCTGTACTGTACGAAAAGTACGTTTGATTGAGTTGAATTTTGCGTCTGGTATGACTCAATTTTATGTCAACATTGACGCTCGTATATGTCAGTCACAGAGCACCTAAATTTACATGTTTTTTTTCGAAGTGTAAAGAACTGTTCATTGTTGACCCTTTATAAAGCCTCAAGAAAACAGAATATTCTTATCGGTTGTTTACCGCTCAGACCACCCCGATAAAGTCTGGACCAATTATAATCCGGGCACTTTATTTCAAGAGCAATTTTTTTATTATGTCGTAAGTAACATTCGCACTGATCCGAGAAAAATAAAGTTTTGTTCTGATGACCGAAAAGTTATTCCTATTTCCAATTAAACACATATAATCTCATAGTGATAGCAATGTTTAACATATTTAGCCAGGTTTTAATCATACAAAGGCAAATCGCTAGCTTTCATGCTAAGAAATACTGGTTTTTGAATCAAAAGTTATTATACGTCGTTTGGTGGCCCCTATTGTTACTTAAGTTAAAGTGTATTTACCAGGATATTCGGGAGAATTATCAATTACGTCTCCTTACGTGCAGCCCATTCATCATTGTAGGACCACCGAAATCATCTTAGCAACAAACAGTTCGATTTATTCACTTTAATAATGAGAAAGCGAAACGACGAAAGTACATTTTTCACCGGTTTCTCAGTGCTGTTACTTAAGGCAAACGGCATCTCCATAGAAATCGGGTGACTTAAGTAACATCGAAAACTATTTTGATCGGAAGGTGTTTACGTCAAAAAGCAATTCGACTGGTAAATAAATTTAAAAATGGGATGTGATCCTATATTCGGACAGTATATAGTGCAATAGCAGGAGCATCGATTGACACTGATAGCTCGACTTTGTTTACCTTTGTTACATTCGACGTAATGAAAATTTGCTCTTGATTTATTCTACAGCCACAGAGAACAGACGTCCAACTATGATCAGATACACTTAAACATAGATTCTGAGTTCGGTAAAAAAAATATCGTTTTAGATCGGGTATTCCTAAAAATTACAGATGTTTCGGTATTTTCTCGCTCTATTGCTGAAAACTGTAAATAAAATTACCGAATTTCGGTGATTTCATTTCAATCACAGAGAACAGACGTTGAGGCTCGAACTAAATTTCTGTAAAATCTTGTGTAAAGATTCTTATTCGATTCAAGCGCCACCAACGCCGACCTCCCTACTTAAAAACCCTCTTTGACAACAACGGCGACGTTCCCACATATCTTACACAAGTTTCTGGTGGAAGTTGGACGTCTGACGGTAAATAAAATTACCGACAGATCTGTAAATCAGCTTCATCACTGACTTCGGTGAAATATTTTACTGAAGTTCCGGTAAACTAACCGTTCCATTACCGAGTTCGGTAGTTTTTACAGCGAGAAACGTCAAATTCGCCATTTCGACCTTCTTAAAAAAAGTTTGTAAGTGGAAACTTGTGAAAAATAAAAAGTTCAATGATGGAGGCTGTTATGGACCAGCTGCAACACCATGATGAGCGAATCGTAGATATTTTCCGTATAAGTAATGATCTTTCGTTATCTAAATAAATACCCATTGTTACAGATGGCCGATGCTGTTGCTTGTTTTTTTCTGTCGGTTGCAAGTTCCAGGTTATGTTACCGGACTGCACCGTCACATCAATGACCACATAAAAAAGAAAGATTTTAGACCGGCAAACACAATTTTTGATTGTACATATCAGAAATGTGATGCAAGATATAGAAACTTCTATTCTTTAAAACGCGATATCATTGAGAAGCATCCACTTGTAAGCTTTGGTCCAGCCGGAAGTACCACGAAGGAAAACGATCCACTCGGGGAAACTCTTTTCATCGGTCATGAAATGCCGATGAAGCAAGTTCTACCCGTGAATCAGAGACATCATTGAATGAACTTTAAAAAAATAATCATCTGAGTATTTGTATTTAATTTAAATAATTGATAAAATCCAGAAAACACCTTGAAACAATATTAAAGCGAATTAAATTTGAGTCGGTAGACTTTTTTAAAAATTAAAGATCTTTCGGTTATTTTCATTTTCTATATCGACTCCAAAATTACAGTTCTCCGGTAAAATCAATTACAAATCAAGTTTGTTTTTTCGGTAAACGTCACCGATCGTTCGGTAAATTTGACAGCTAATTTTGCTGATTCAGTTTACAGATTTGTCGGTAATGTTCTCGATTACCGAACATATTACCGACCGTTCAGTTGTTGAGAATTCGGTAAATGAATTACCGAAGTCGGTAATTTTTTCTAATGTCGTTTTCGTTTTTGCGGTGTAGCTACACAGGTGCTACACTGCCGTACACCGAAATATTTTAGGGTGTAGATATAGGATGCACCCAGCGTTGCCAGAATGTTTTAAAGCTTATCGGTATCGAAGGTTTTAAAAAATCGGTATTTATCGGTATTTACTATTTTAAATAATTTTATATTTTTGCCGTTTTTGAAAGCGACATTTTTTACTTTTGGACTATGATCGGAAAATTCTGGAAGAAAACTCCGGTGAATGTTTGAATAAGCTTCTGGAGGAAGCTGAAAAAAACATCCATAGAAAGAAAAAATAAGCTCTCCTGGAGGAAATTTGAGGAAAGTTCTGAGAGAAGTCGGAAAAACATCCGCGGATCTTCCGAGGCATAAATTGAAAAACTTCTGGCGAAAATTTAAAGAAATTTTCAGAAAAAAAAAAATCAAATTTCACATTGAGATTTCGGAAATTTTAAATAAATTCCAGAAGTAGCCTTTTCCAAGGGAAGCCAGAAGAAGCTCGGAAAAACCTTCCAATAGAAGTAAAAAAAACCAACTGGACAAAATTCCAGAACTAGACGAAAGAAATTTCTGGGAGATGTTTAAATGAATTTCCTGGAGAAGACAGAAGAAACTTCCTAGAGACGCTGGCATGTAGATTGGAAAAAAATTCTGGAGGAAGTCGGAAGTCGCTAATGGAACAGTCGAAAGAAACAAGGACATAATTCCGGAAAAAAAGAGCTCTTGTGGGATGTGATTATCCAGAAAATATTCCAAATGGTCATAAAACATCCCTGAAGACCCCGCAATGCCCTGAAGTTTTTGGAACATTCCTGAAATGTACTTAGGATTACTCCATATGTTCTCGAGCTGTTTTGGAGTACTCTGATCATCTTTGAAATACTTGGAACTTCCCTGATTATGATGAGACTACCGGAATATCACTAATTAACTTTAAAGGTCTCTAGACTTTCTTGAAGATTGCGAAATTTTTTAAGCGCTCTCAAAATTTTCTTGAATTTATTGTCAGCATTAAAGTTCTCTGATCTTCCCGATTTTTCTAATTTTTAAATGTTATCGACACTGCCATTAATAAGCACGGAACTTCCCATAAAATGTTCTCACAATGTGCTGATGTTCGTGTAACTTCCCTCACGTTTCTTAAATTTGCATGAGCCCCTCGGAACATTGCTGAATTTTCGGAAATCGCCTTAGTTTCTGGGAACTTCTTTAAAATTTCAGCGATTTCCTTGAAATTATTGATCTGATCTGATTGTCCTGATGTTTTCGGAGCTTCCCAAAGTTCTCTCAATTCTCCTGAAACTAATGGAACTGTCCCGAAAACCATTGAATTAATTTCCAGACGTTCTTTGGGCTTGTGAAGTATACAAAATATGAATGATGTTTCCTTAAGATCACTGTAGCTCGCTGGACCGAGTTTTAGAATTTTAACAGAAGTTATTGAAACATTCTTTATTTTATCAAAACTTACTTAAAAGTCTGGCCTTTTCTGAAGTTAGTTAGTTTTCTTTATTATGGATGCTTTCAGTCTGAGACTGGTTCGGCTCCGGTGTTTTCAGTTTCAGAACTTTTTAAAAGTTCCTGCAGCTAGTGTGGATCCGCAATCAAAATCTAGAAGCAGCATCCCTGAAGTTCCGGGAAGAATCATTCGAGTGAAGGCTGAAGAAGCTTCTAAGGGAAGTCAAAATAAGTTTCTGAGAGGAATCGTTAACAGAAAATTTCAGGGGAAAGTTGGGAGAAAATCCAGGAAGTTAAATAATGTTTAAAAAGTATTTCCTGATTCCCCCGAAATTACCAGAAAGAGCCATCGACTGTTTATCGATTCATGGGTAGCCAAAAACGGTGAGAAAATCGAAACATTAATCGAAAGAGTATCCATAAGACATTTTTGAAGATGATTTTTTTAAAGACTCAAAAAATTTGAGATATTCAAAAAGATACAAGTCTCACACAATAATTTTCTCCGAAATCCTGAGTGCAGACAGGCAATAATTATTTTGATTATTTAAAAATCGGTATAAATCGGTATAACACCTCAAAAATCGGTATTCTGAGGAACCTTATCTGTATATTGGTATCTAGTTCGGAAATCGGTATAAATACCGATAAATCGGTATATCTGGCAACGGTGGATGCACCTTTGTTTAAAGCAAATGATGTTGAGCTGTCAAAGACTCACGCTTATTCCTGCTTACACTAGAGTCGGTGTATACCCAAGTAACAATTTGGGTTTTATGAGGGTTTT